GGGTATGCAGGATGAAAATAAAATCTTGTCTTCCCATTTCAGAATATCTGTTTTGGAAAATCGCTGTTTGAAATATATTTCTCCGCATTATCACGCAAATTACACAAAGAGGCAAAAAATTAATTTTCATAGAATATAAATTTTCAGGCATTTATTTCTTTCCTTATAAGAAAGAAAAATAATTATTTTAACTAAAATTTACATTTAAGAGTCATTAGTTTATAAATTTATACTGCGTGTGGTTTGAACAGTATGCACGTTTCAAAGCAAATATGAATGTAATTATGCATTTTAACCCATTTGCGCTTCATTAAAATCATTTATAAAGCTTTATAAGTAAAGCTTAATGTTTCCTTTGCTTTGTTGTGGAATTCTAAAAAGTATGTTTACGCACTGCTAAAAAATTTCTCTCTCTTAAGTTCACATTTGTTCTTAGATAAAGAAATGTTAAAAGCATATTATTTTACTTCAGATAAATTACTTGCAACATCTAACATATGTTTAATTATAAAAGATACTTATTTAACATATTGTATTATTTAATGTTTATTAACTGAAATCTTATTGATTTTAATCAGTTTCTTTCAGTGCACTACAGGACATTTTCTCTAGAAGAGGAAAGACTCAATATTTAAAATTAAGCATAAAATCAACCCCAGTTTGGTGTAGCTTTGAATATAGTTTGAATATAGTTGTAATATAGTTTAATATAATAATATGTAATATAGTTTGTAATATAGTTTTGAGTATAGTTGTAACAGAAGGATGAAATAAATGATGAAATTTAAAGGTAATTTTGAGGTACAGAACATGCAGAAATATATACCGCGGACACCCGTATCTGGTTTAGAAAGTCCTCCACGAAGGCATCCCTACCCTTAGGCAGATAGCCCTAGTGTGCTTTACCGTAATAAAATAAACCAAGCCAAACCCGTATCTGGTTGTAATTTCAGCTGCAATGCTGGCCTTGTAGTTAAACATACTTTTGATGGCATTTCAGATATAAATGTTGATGGTATTTCCATGTGGCTTCAATTCTGTGCTAGGTTGTGCCTATGTAATAGTGCAACTCTTGTGCCGTATAGACTGGCGGATGTTGTCATGTTAATCTCTCTACAACCATTGATCAGATATTTTCAGTCAGTAAGAAATCTGGAGATGACATCATTCGAGCAATGATCACCCTGCTGGCATTCCGTGGCTTTATAGATGTCATCGTATCTTATATACGTGCACTTGGACTAAGAAAAAATTTGTTAGATGATTCTTATCTCGGGTACTTGTACTGGGATCCCGAACGTTGCTGTATGTGGTTCTTCTGGTTTCAATGAATGCACATTTATGTAAGTCATTGGATCTCAACGAGAGCGATCAACAGTTTTGCGGTGTGGTAATTCGTAGTTCCGTAAGTTACGATTCATTTAGTATGAGTTAGTTGTTTTACACGAAGCATAACATGATCTCCAACACAAAAGCATCAACTAAAGGCGATTTTTGAATAAAAAATCGACGTTTCAATCTGCCTTTTATACTGTTTCGAACAGTTGGGTCATTATGTTTTCCTATAATGTGAGCATTCCATGAAATGCTAATCATTTGCATATCTCAGCTTATTTTAATTTGTATTCAAATTTGAATTTGCTGAAAACTTCTTTCATGGTCTTAACGGACAGCAGACCACTTTAGAAGCGGTTGTTGTAAAAACTTCTAAAGAAATAAAAAAATTGTTAAGCTCGAGGGATTGTGAAAGAAAAATTAATAGTTAACATATTTTTTAACCATATAAAGAGGATAACATACATTCTAAAATCGTGTCTTATGAAGCCACAAAATCGAATGGGCACTGTAGAATACTTAGCATATTGCTGATTGGACGCTGCTCGAATTGGCCTCTTTCTGGGTTTTGCCCATAGTGGTTTGTATGCCAACCAGTCTGAAGCAAAGGCTAAAACAGTTATACGAACTCTGTGAATTGAAGACATATATTACTATATTCAGAATAATAAGAGAATGCAATGATTTACAAAAGACCTGAACACTGGCAACATTTTGAGTAATCAGGAGAAAGACAGAATTTGTGACAGCTTGACATGAACATATTCAAATTGCAACTGTTCAAGCTTATGTGCGTACACTTATGTAGAATGGCATCTGATAAAAACATGTAAGCAATTAATAAATAAAATGAAACAGCAACACTATTATGCTACTGATATTTTATCCAGGAGATGCGAAACGAGGGGAGAAAAAATATATAAATCTGTTAAAGTGGAGTTTTACATAAGACATGTTTTCTCCTGCCAGAACTTCATTAATTCTGCAAAATCTGATTTAGCTCCTTAGTGCTTCTTTTTTTAGATATAATTTCGTACATTTTATGCTCCCAGTTTCAGACTCACGTGTAATAGCTTCGCCTTCAGCAGTGGGCATTTTCGTTTCCCATGTTCCCTGTAAGCGCTTTCATACAACAATTGAAATTTTAATTTGGCTGTTTACTTGTAGGAGATGGAAAACATTTTTCTTCTTCTTCTTCTTGTGCATTCTTGTGTCTATTAAGGGTATTTGAACTTTGTTATTGCATGCAGAAAAGAGAAAGTAATATTATAAGGTATTTCTCCCACTTCCCTAGCGTGCCTTCGTGGTGTAACGGTAGCACGCTGGGCCGGTATTCCAGAGGTGCGCGGTTCGATTCCCGGCGAAGGCGGTTGCATATTTTACATCTTTTCTGCTTCCATAGCCTAATGAAGTGGCGCCCGAACAAAAAGCTGTGGTGATAATTCGCCGCACCCGGATTTGCGACAGGTCCCCTAAAATCCTAGTCGCATTTAAAAAGGGAGTATTAAGGTATTTTACCCAATTCCTAGCGTGCCTTCGTGGTGTAATGGTAGCACGCTGGGCCGGTATTCCAGAGGTCCGTGGTTTGATTCCCGGGGAAGGCGGTTGCATATTTTTCATCTTTTCTGCTTCCAATTAGCTTAATGACTCTACAATATCACTAGACAGAAGACCAACTTCATTTATTATTAATTTAAATTTCCATTACACTTTTACTAGATAAACATTGTAAAACTGTATTTTCTGAGGACAGAAAAATTTACAGGGTATTTTTAGATTTTCGTCTTTAAGGAAGGAGGAATTATTTTGTATGGCGTTATGAAAGCTGTTCCAACGTTTACATATATACTACTTGATTCATCTGTGTAAGCTATTTTGTAGGTATGCAGTATATAGTTTTAAATCAGATTTTGATATTATGAGAATTTTCAGGGTGCAGGAATACGAAACGATTGGGAATTCAAAGATATTCGGTCTTATGTTAGCCCGTATAAGGAAGCTTGATTATTGAGCTCTATAAATTCTCTAGCTTTGATGGAAGTTATATTGGCGTTATTGCGTACTATATTCGAAGTGCAGCTTCAGATATGATGTGGAAAGATTTCTTTGTATTGCGGAGATAAGGTCGTGAAGAGCACTGAAGTCTTTCCTGTAATAGTGTAATAGAGACAGCCTGTAATAGTGACAGCCCAAGTAACAGCTCCATAATTAACAAATATCGCGTGAAAAAGCTTCTGAATATGAGGATTTACGTCTCAATCATATTCATTCATTCTGTTTCATTTTCATCCTCATTTTTCTCTTAATTCTTCATACGGCTTCTTTTAAAGTTTTGTTTGATTTCTTGAAGATGCGCTATCCAGGAGAATTTTCCAACTATAGTAATTCCAAGAACTGTTTTTCATCAGTGTCAAAAGTATGTTTTTTGTTTCATTTCGTTTTGTTCGAAAGTGGCATTGTTTGCACATGTAAATATTCTGGAAACAATGCTTGACGCGTATTACTATTTAAAAGCTCTCAAAATACTACTTGGTATATTTCTTGAGTTTCTTGCTTATACTGAACAGCAATTCAGTGTTCTAATAAGTTCCATTATTCTCAGTTTTAGAGTAAAAGGAAGAACAATTTCATGGGACCGATTTGAAGTTAATGAATGCTTAGCTGATTAATGGCTCCCATATTTACGACGCGAAAAATTCTTATAACTCAACTGCAGACAAAGATTGATTAAAACTAATAAAAGCTATATTAATGAGAAAGTAGAAGGGAGTCTTTAACGATTATTCAAGATTTTAAGTCATAAATATTCATACAGAAAGAACAAAGTTTAAAATATAAAGGGCTTTGTATTGTTTGAAATACTTCCTGCTCATCCGTGCCAATTAACCCATGCTTTAACATACATTGACTATTTAAGTATTACGTATAAATTACGTATTTGGTAACGTTTTACGTTAATCGAATTTCACGTCTATTGTGTCCATTAAATAACCTCATTTGTTTACTCAAATTTCTTTCAAAATTATGTTGGCATTAATTCTTTAATTGTCCGTGTAGAAATAACTGCTACTACAAAACAGAAATACAATGTAATTGTACTTTTTATTTCTCGAAAACGTTTGATTAAAAACCGTATGTTCGTGTGAAAGACGACGCTAAAATGATTAATCATGATCAGGTGTGATAAGATGTATGGAAATCAGATTTCAAAATTAAGCAAAATTCATCTTTAGAAGCTTTAGTGTTTGAAATGCACTGCATTTTATTTTATCATCCAGTGTATCAAACGTGTTTCTGGCGTTTTTGACTTTTTTTTTCCAATCCTTTTAATACAATTAAACACTGGAGATTTAATGTTATAAGATGTAAACAATAAGTACTGTTTTTGCTCAAAGAAATTAAGGAAACACTTGTATAACTAACTTTCTACCAGTGTGCGTTACAGAAAAATTAACTCTTGGAGTCTGGATTCTTTATAATTAAAGTTTAATTTATACTGCATATATATAACTAACTGCTTTTGATATGTAAGAAAATAATTTTAGATTTGTTTTGTACCTACATTTTTGGAACAACAAAAAAAATATTTTACAACATTGAGCCTGCAGAACTCATAGCATGTTCAACAATTATGGTTATATTTAAATACAAACATAAAAGCTTACCTTTTGTTCTTTTTCCATGAGAAAACCTAAATGAAATGCATGTGCAAGATCTGCATGGCACAAGCGAGAGTCATTGCTGTTGGGAAGGTATCGAGATTTGATGGCGTTGGCTATTGTTGTATGGCTCCAGTATAAATACGGCCTTTTATCTACGTAATACATTTTCATCAAAACACCTATATACGCAGGATAAAAACAATTAAAAATTACTCTTAAAATCCTCAAGAAAGATTTAGTTAAAATGTTTCAAAAATGAAATTAAATCAATCAATTTAAAATAAAAACACAAAGACATAATTGCATGTAAAAAAAAAGTTCATAAAAGAACCATATTTTAAATCATAGAACATACCTCTAATATAAAACAGTTGATATAAACAGTCTCTACCTAATATAAAGCAGTTGATGTTTTATAGTGTTTTCGAAACTAGATGATTTATTTAAATACATTTTCTTATTTAAATTAAATCTAGTATCAAATTTTTACTGTAACTCATATTCGAAATTATCTTTCTTGCAGCCTGATGTTAAGTCATTCTACTGCATAAATTATCGGATCGAACTACAGTATCCAGTATGACTTTAATGTTTTTTGCATTTTATTTTTATACCGAAATTATTCTCATAAATATTAATTCTCGAAATTTGTCAAACGAGGATACCCTAACATTTTTATTTGAAAATTACAAATAATTAGATGCATTACTTTTCTGAATTTATAAAGCTACGATTAAAAATACTTTAAGAATAATTTATGCAGTAAGATATAATTATGCAATAAGAATTATGATATTTTGATTTAATATAGTTACTTTTTGTTTAACACAAATATTGTTAATTTGATTATGTGCAGGAGCGCATTTAACTTTTTGCCTCTGGTCAAACTAGGCATGGCTCTGATTCCAGATTGTTATTATTTATTTACGTGCCCTGTCCTAAGGCAATACACGGTGGGGAGGGATGCCTTCGTGGAGGACTGACTAGTGTTAACACGTTACATATAAGGAAAACCACAAAAACGCCCATGCAGACTGCCCGTTGAGGGACATTACCGCTCGGCCACTGATAGGCTCTGGTTCCAGATGAAGTTCGAGGTAATTTCTTATATTGTGATTTGGAATTTCCTCGAACTATAAGCAAAATTCGAGACTGAAAGGCGGTTTATTTAGTTTTATATTATAAAACCAGCGCTTAATTAAAGTTGCGTATCTCATTTCACAGAGACGAAAAAACATTCACAGAAACTCTTCATACTGAAACTTTTATTAAAAGAAAAGCAATCACATAAGCATTTACTAATTTATTATTTTCTTTTTACCCACAAACTTTAAAATTATGCTTACGGAAGAAAATTATTTAATAAATTAGTTTTTTCTTTATCTGGAGTGTTTTAGTCAAGCAAAAATTTGCATTTCATTCCCTCAGATTTGAATGTAGAAGCAGGTAAAAAGCTTCAAAAAAGAGCAATAATATCAAACGCAGAAAATTACAAAAAGAAACGTACGAACGAGAAAAAATATGCTAAGTGTTACAGTTTTCGAAAATAAATAGAGAAAAAAAAACCGCATGTTGCATCAACGCGTTTTTTTCTTTTTACTGGTAAGGAAATTTATAGCTTAAAAATACGCACGCCATAACTCTAAGGAATTTAAGAAATTAAGAAATCAGTAAAAGGAAAAGACACTCAAAAATTAAATTCATTGCTTTTTTCCCCTTTCAAGCAAAACCAAGATGCATTTCAAAGATAAGACAGAACGTTATTTCAAAAAAAAAAAAAAAAAAAAAAAATCTTTCTGCAGTCTTTTTTTTTTATTACAGGGATGTCTCCTTTCAAGTTAATTTATGGTTCAGAGATACGTAGTCCACTGAGTGTTCTGAAGTCCAGTTAGAGTGGTGAGATAGCGATACCTTTAAATATGAAGCAATCAGTTGTTGATTATTTACAAGAAATGAAAATAAACCTTCTTAATAGAATCTGAGAAACAAGCAGCTTTTTCAAATTACTTTAATTTTCGAGCTATTCCTGAAGAATTTAAAGTAGCAGAAAAGGTTTATTTTCTTATTTGTAACTCATTCAATAAAATCTATGCGAGATGGACTAGTCCAGGGGAGGATTATAAAGTATTGTCCATCTCATTCATATAAAGCCAAACTATTTGATGGAAAATAACACATGTTGACGTGAATAAAATCAGAAAACATATCGGTGGAATAATTGTTGTGGTAGTTTTCTTCGAATATGTAAGAGTTTGGAGAGATTCATCCAGCTCCGCGAACTTCATCTCAAGATATAAAATGTGTTCTCCAGAAATTGCAGCTTGAACATTTAACGTGTGATCAACAGCAGCAGCAAATTAGACAACTCAAAGAAAGCACGAATCGTTATTTACAGGTGAAGTGAAAATTTCGAAAGTGGGTTGCCATAAAAATAAAATTAAAATCCAACGAAGAAAGGGAAAAAAACCGCACATTTACCAAAATAGTGAAATTTTAAAAGCCAAAGTTTGGAAGAAACCAGTGCAGAAATTGCATATCCTATAGTTTGAACAAGAAAAACGGAATAATTCGACTCTGTAATTGATTATCATGAAATTAAATGCTATAACAATTACAGATGATTTTCCTTTGCGAAATGCAGTAGGGCAAGCTAATATAATAGTTACACTGGATTTATTACGAGGTTATTGGGCTATTCCCACGGATCCTTAAATTTGTGATTACCCTTCGTTTAAAACTCATAGACAACAGTACAGATTTAAAGTTATGAGTTTTGGTCTGAATGCAACAGCATTTCAAAGAGTAATTAATAAAGCACTCTATGAATACAGAGACTTTGCCAGAGAATATATTGACGACGTCGCAGTTTTCCAAAGGACTAGAAATCTCGTATGATTCATTTGGTATGATACTCACCAAGTTTAAAAAGCTTCGCTTTACAGTCAATAGCAGCAAATGTCATTTTGCCAAACCACAAATCAAATATTTGGGCCATGTAATTGGTTCTAGAAAACATCAAGAGGATCCTGATAAGATAAAAGCCATTTTCAGATTATCAAAACCGAAAACAAAGAAGCAGATCAGAAGTTTATTAGGCCTATGTAACTATTATAGAATCTATATTCTAAAATATTCTGAATTAGTATGTTCACTTACTAAACGTACAAAGAAGAACATGATAAAACACCATGGAAAGAAGAGCACGACATAGCTTTTGAGGAACTTAAAGCTCTACATTGTATACACCAGTTTTGAGGGATCCATTCATCATACATTGTGATGTCTCTCAAAGAAGAGTTACAGCATGTTTATCTAAAAGTTTCAATGAGCACAATCCACCCCATAACCTTTGCAATTCAGAAATTAAATCGAACTCAGCAATCGTGATTTACTATAGAAAGACGAGTATACGCTATTCCATGATGGAGTTTGAAGAAATTTGAAACCTGGATTTTCAGATCCGAAGTTGAACTATACACCGACCATAATCCATTACCTTACCTAACGAAATATACATTGTAATCATTTAGATTACAGCGTTGGACTTACAAAAATACAATATCGACATGAAATACTGTCCAAAATGGGTAATGCAGATACTTTATCCAAACTTGATAGAAGAAGGAATATCTTATTCTTAAATGGACAGAAAAACGTTTTAGGTACTTAATTTTAGGTACAATTCCCAAGACTTCAATTTTAATGTTTTATATTGATTTTTTAATTTTCTTATTATCTTTAAAGTTTATTGCAAGATATTTTTTTACTAAGTAATATTTGTAAAGTTACAGAAATTAGTTGCTTATAGCAATTAGGTAACTTAAACGTAACATTCTTAACCATTTTTGAAGATTTCATTTAAAATTATTTACGTTTAAGAGTTAACTTTGTTATGTAAATGTTGTCATATTTTTATATTTTCTTGTAGATTGGGAAAGGAAGTATCAGATTAGTAGACATAATGTTCGATTTTGTGCCCCAGACATTTAGTTATCAGAATGCCTTTGGACATCCTGACTAACCACTAGTTTGGGGCTGGGAGGTGTAGTGCCTGGTCCTCCAAAATTTTACTCCTAAAAGAAACTTGTGCCGTCTAGGTGGAGGAAAAGAGTCAGTTGGAGACTAGCTCCCGGCGGGAGAAGCCGAATGTTCAGTGTAGTGAATTCGAGATCGGCAGTTCTGGGCTAATTAATACATTTTCTATTTGCATAAAGTGTATGAGAAAGTTAACCTGAGTGACTCGACACCGGCCACAACTGGATCTTACACAATGATTAATATTTAGGAAGAACTTACCATTTAACAGAATAACAGAAAATAAGCAGAGCCTAATATGTATGTTAAAGGAATTTGTATGCCCATGTAACTGAACAGTAATTGTTTAATTTATGTTTCCAATCCTTCCGAATCTTGGCCGTGGAGCACAATCGTTTATATATTATATATATATATATATATATATATATATTCTATGGAGGACTCCCAATAACAGCTTAAGCTTATTTGCAGGGCTATTTTGCTCATGAGTTTCAGAGAGAGAGAGAGAAATGATTAATATGAAATATTGTTTTCTACAAAATAACGTTATACTCGCTCGTCCTTCAGTGTTCTTAACGTATTTACAACTCTATAATTAAAATAAGAAAAAAATCGCGAATGATATGTCAGCACAAGGAAGCATTAGAAGGGTACATTAATTATCATATGGATGCTAGATTAAGAATAGAAAAGTTTTCATTCTCCGTTATCTTATCCTCCAAATTTTGAAGGATAAAGAATGTGGAGAATAAGATAATAACCACAGTAAAAATTAGGATTTTTTTGTAATTAAATAGTTTTAAGAGCCAAGTGATTTACAGCGCAAATGTACACAAAAACACGACTGTTTTTAGTGAGGTTTTACACAGATTTTTAAGTGATGCATTAAACACCTTTTGTCTTTTACTTATAGTCCAAAAGGACTATTAGTCTCGAAATGCGATTTTGCTTTGTGTCGCTTTTAAGTCTGTTGCTATTCGGTAAAATTTAATATTTATCTTTTAAAGTCGGTCTGTCTGTTATTGGAGAACCTGAACCAACAAAGCTATTTAAAAATAATAGATGCAGTTCTAAAGAACAGTAAATTTTTACTTTTGAATTTGCCTCAATTAAAAAAAATGCACTTAATTTATAGGTTTTTATTAATTTTACTAACCAATTTTTTATATTAAATTGCTTTGCAATCGTTTCTCTGGCCCATTTTCCTGCCAGAATATAAATTTCTAGTTCACGCAATATTCAACTGAGTCAGAAAGGAAATAATATTTAAAGCAAGGTTTTAGTGGGTAGAATCAGGGCCTGCTGAAGGCCACGCATGCTAACTAATTCTCTTGAGAGTAGTTTTCTGCGGCGTTGGGTTATTTTCTCCATTAGGTTTGTCACGCCAGTTTTAAGTCAGAGCCAACTTGCGCGTTTTGTGTTTGTGCAGCTCTTCGAGTAACGTATGCTAACTTAATTTAAAATTCCTTATTTTTGATTTGAGAAATAAATGTTGGCTGTTTTGTAACCACAAGCAGTGTATTATGTTAAACCTTTAACTGAATTAAATAAAAGTCTCTTTCATACCCTTTCTCAGTCCCTGTGGTAATTCAAAAGCGTAGTGATAAGTCACTTAGGTGTTAGAGTTCTCATCTATGGTATCAAAGAAGGAGAAACTCTATAAAAACTTTTGACATTTTTGTAGAATTAGGTTACATATTTTTTCACGTTAATGCGTTGTTTCACCTTCAGTTCGACTTTGTTGCCATTAGGAAAAGCTTAGATATTTCTTTCATATTCAGTCTGTCTGCCATTAATTAACAAACTATTCTATCTAAAAACAACACATGAAGTTCTTAAAAATATTATTATTTTTTTTACATTTTAATCTGATTGATTTAAATAAAAATGAATTTAACTTATGATATATATAATTTAAAAACATTAAATATTTTTAAAGAATAACATTACAGATTTTTTCATTTTTTAAATATACAAATGATACGCCGGGTTAGTCTAAATTCATATTCATCTAATATCCTATAAAATGTTTCGTTGTTCCATCTGGATCATGTCTATTGATAATCTCTACTAATAAAACATGTTAAATTTTAAAACAGCCGTTTTGGTTGATGGTTAAAATTTGAAACCTTACAGAATATTTTTCAGTCTTCCTTTACTGATTTTTAAAATTTTCTCGTGACTAGTATTTCTAATTATACTAAGGTGAGAAAAATGAAAAAAAGCAGGTTTCCTTAAAAATTAACTTTTCTTTCAAAGATATATAATATGTTTCTTAACAGTATTTCTGCACTGATAAATGAATAATAACAATTAATACATGGCGCATACTCATAAAAAACTTTACTTACTCAGTTCTTTCTTGATATCCAACCAATTTATTGGCGAAAATTCAACTTTCTTGCTATCGACATCATTATCTAGTTGCGGACCTTCATATTCTGTAGAGGCTAGAAGTTCCACAATTTCAGCCTCTCTGAGTCCAAAACTGGTACAAGTCAAGTATGTTGCAATTTTCCTGATTGTCTCCACTCCATATTTGTTTTCGAGATCTATCAAAAATATGTTCACAATTTCTTCTATACTCAGAGGTACATCTTTGTCATTTAAGCTTTTGTAAGATGGCCATCGCTTGGCTAAACTTGAGAGCAATTTTACATATAGCGGGCTCACAGATTTGTCATTTATTCTTTGTTTCACTACCTGCCATTGATCTGATGTTAGCACATGTTTGTTATCTTTTAAGTTTGACTGCATCATACTCAGTGCTGATTGGCCATTTAGAGATGATATGTACACGAAATTTTCACTGGTGGATATTCTGGTTTTCAACAAACCAAGAATTTTTTCCTCCTCTTCCGATATGGAACAAATGATGTGAACATTTGGTGGTAAATTCCATGGCAGCCATCCCAAGATAGATGCCTGGTTGTTTGGTGCGCATCGCAAAGAATGGAGATTGTCGAGCACAATAATGAGATCATTGTCTTTGGCTTCAACGAGTTTAAGAAGGTCCTGAAACCATATACTGAGTTTTCCAAGCTCGAAGCTGTAATGCCTTGGTGTTATCTCGAAACCAAAAAGTAAACTGATGTGTAAACATAAATTTCGAAGAAGTTCAGGCGTAAATGAAGTGCACGGACTTCGACCAACATGGCGGATTATCCTGACCACATCATTTCCAAGCCATTCGGGAGAGTACATGAATACCTTAAAAACAGAAATGAAGACAGTATAGTAAAAGTTAGCAGCTAATTTTGTGCATAGCTATTCTGAATGAATTGAAATGCAATTGTTATAAAGATACATTAGCTTTTGTTTACAGAATTATATGGATAAATTACGAGAATTATAAATCTATATTTCTGTTAACAATACATGAAGTTTGCTGAAATCTGATAAGTTCCTTTACAAAAAAGATAAGAAACAGGAAGGACTTTGAGATAATCCTGAAAACGAATTAATGAGTTAATATTTACCAGTATAATAGGTATATAGTGATACAACCGCACCTGTGAGAGTAGTGTTGATTTTCCTGATCCGTCTTGACCGCAGACAATGACAGGTGAATGTCTTATGCATGTATCTTCCTGCCCCAGCATCAGATTTTGGATTTGAAGTAGAGGTCCACAGTCGCTGTCTAAGGATTGTGATACTCCGAGGACTCTCAAATGTTGTCTGCTGTTGCTTAAATGGCTTTGTGACTCTCTTACTACTTCCTTGAAGACAAAAAAGTATACAGTTAGTAGAATGCAAGTATTCCTCAAATGAGTTCGATTACAGCCTACAGCAATAACGAGAAAAATTGCAACAAAATAAGTGGTTTGACGTTTTCCCCTCGTTGTGTATAAAAGTTCATTAACATTATAAAGTAGAGCTTATCTGCAATACTTAGCACAGTAGCCAATCCGAATAATCCTCTACATATGAATCTGTGCCTAAGCATATAATTATGGTGTGATTGACAGCTTTCAGATAAAGGAATTGGTCGAGACAACGCCAACCGCCAAGCAAGGCTCTCGCCGGAGGACTTGTGACAATTCATTTGAAATTATGTACACCTGGCTACGGAGCTCTAGCTGTAGATCTGATCTGCTATGTATAATTATTTGTTTTTAACTATGCTGAAATAATAAAAAATGTATTTACAGGATAAAGTACATCGGACTGAATGCAGGTTTAACTTAAAAGACGTTATTCGGTGATTTTTATTACTTCGCGCAAACATTCAGAGTACTTAATTATATTTAAAACTTAATTATACTTAAAAAAATAAATGTAGGGTTAGCCTGAAATTTACATGGCTAAGTTACAACAACATTACATGCACAACTCTTTTGTAACATGATAGATAACAGTGCGTTAATCAAGTTCTTCCCAAACAAGAATCATCATTTCCATATCGACAGCTGTTGAGTTGAGATGCATTGTTTAAGCCCTTAAACGTTTAGAAAAAGGGGAGAGAAGAAAATTTGGTCAGTCATACAGTCATTGGAGGCCAATATTCTGGCATGCTGAAGGCCAAATGCAACTCCAAGTCAGATTTTGGACTTTACCGTTTTTCTACCTGATTTACGGACACACTACTCGACCAATGTCAAGAGAGCCCACGTGATGCTTGCTGGTATTAAGAAACAAACGAGAAGATGATGTCTTGCTCTACAAAATGGTAATAAATCTTTCCTAATAAAAAGAAATATTTTTCGATTTATAAGAGCTTATTCTGTCTAATTTTTAGGCTAACCTGTATAATGTGTTGTGTAACATATAATACAATTTTCAGTAAATATTGCAGGATCGCCACTAATATTATGGTAATTAAATTCAATATTATTAATTAGAGCTTTTTATTTACATTCTTAATACACACTGCGTATTCCGAATGTAATGAGTTATATATAATAAAACAGAATGTTAAAAATTATTATATTCTTGAATGCATGATATTAATTTGCACTTATTATATACGTGACCACTTGTCCAGGCAAAGATGCAGAAGCACCCCGGAGCCCACGGTGTAGAAAACAGATAACAGGGCACTACCGACCATAACTCTCTAAGGGCTGTTTGTCCCGCCGAGTTTAGTTTTATATACGCACTCATGATAAAAATGTTCAGGCTGTGATATAAAAGCATAAAGGCTATCATTAATAGTGTGATTAACTACGCTCATGTATTAAAAATCTATATAACTGGGTTTGCGTTTTTTTCCGTTGATAGAAAACATAATTATAATATAATGCTACCTTAATTTTATTAAGAGGATGTATAAATATGAGGCACTTAAAATGAAAACACTTTATGGACTAAATTATAATCAAAGATCCTTTGAATTCCCTTAATATATAATCGATTTTTATTTTAACACATACGAACCCTTGATGAGAAAATGCATAAGAAAACTGATTTTTAATTTTAGTCATGAGGATTAAAAAAAATAAGGCAGTAATTTTTTATTTTAAAGCACTGGAGTTTAACAAAAAAAAATATATTTTGTATTTCATATAAAAAACACATTTTCTACACTAAATCACGATAGGCATATAAATATATAAAAACCTAATATATTAATATATCGATATATAAATGTTTAATATAAGTTACGCTTCTGTCTTTAATACCTACTAGGCTACATATCAAACAAATTTATCAATATGTCAAGTAAATGAACTTAAAATAATTTAATACCTTCGTAAAAATTATGTATTTCATTGCATTTATTATAATAGTTAAAGCAAATAGATTGAAAATTTGTAAGTGTATTGAGAAAAGCTTTGTTTTGCTTGTCTTAGAAAAAAAGAACAGACAGTTCCGGAGTTTGGAACTCCAAATATCTGAAGTAAACTGCTTTAAAAATATTACAGTTCCTTTTTATCTAGTTGTTTGGAGAGTTAGAACTTGGATATATATCTCTCGGATCGTATTTTAATGAATACCGTCGTTGTAGAGGGTTGTCGTGCAGGAGCTTTCAGGTGGGCTAGTTTCAACATATACACATTCAGAAATGTATCAGATCGCATTTTTATGACAATCAATCATTTCTAAATAGCTCTTTAGAATATTTGATGGATGCATCGTCAATCGAATGTCCATCAGATGCCTTATCCATCAAATACAACATCAGCAGTACTTTATCTATCACATATCATATCCATAGGACACTAATACATTTCTCCACGTCTTATACTAGAAGATACCTATGTCCTAAGCTAGTTAAGTGATAAATTGCAACTTATGAGAATGATACTTTTCCTCCCTTACTAAAATACAAAAATAAAATTAAAAAAAAAAAAAAAAAACTAACTGACAGTTGTTCTTTACAACTAGTAGTTGTGAAATAAAACTGCACTAAAATAAAAATAAAATAAAATAAAAAAAACTGACAGTTGTTCTTACAACTAGTAGTTGCGAAATAAAAATGTGAGAATAATACAACTGATTGCCAATAGCTAAAATTTCACTATCGGCAGATAAAATATTGCGAGAATTTAAAACTGCTTTATTCTTCAGGATAATAAGTATAACAGTGCAAGCTGATATATTTACTGATATTTAATTAATGTCTCATGCCCTAACCTAAAATATGTTGAGTATATACATATATGTTAAAACAAGGGATGCCTCTTCAAAGAAGATATTTCAAGTCGAAACTACTCTTATTTGCGTTACTACGAAACCCCCATAGCTTTAGCTCGTAAATACAAATCCAAACCTAGAGCGAACTACCTTTATTCAGCCATCTCATCCACTCGGCCACTGATGGAGAATAAGAAAACAAATAAATGGATTTCAAGAACAACCAAATTACAAAATTCTGCAACTTAAATTATTTTAGCGAAGAGTTATCATAACCATTTTCTATCATTATATCATTTGCTTTGTTTTAAGGTATATACTTTATAAGGAATTTAAAATTTTATTAGTCTTCATAAATGCACTTACAAAATTTTGACTGCGGTTTAATGACAATAATTTATTCAAAGTTACTTGAAATTTGTAAGTGAAACATATTCCCAATCACGATTTTTTTTCAACAATGTGTTTGATATAATTTGAAATACATAAATTATGTTTTAATTACGCTTAAAATCTTGCTCTCCAGATTAAGATAAGAAATAACTGTGATAAAATGAAAACCACATTACCGCATGGATTCTCAGTTGAAGATTGTTTTGTACAACATAACAGTGAAACTGCTCTTGGAAATGATTCTTACTAATTGAATTGCCTTGAACTAATTTTTATTAATTGCATTGCATTGAAATGAATTTGTAGTAATTTCATACATTGAACTAATTTTTACCAATTGCATTGCATTGAAAGTAATTCTTACTAATTTCTAATATTGAACTAATTTTTACCAGTTGCATTAAATTAGAGTTTATTCTTACTTTTTGCTTATATTGAAATTGATTCTTACTTATTACTGGATACATAATGGAAGATACTTGGAATCTCATAAGAAAAGTCTGATTAGAATAACTTTATGTGAAGCTCGGAATTTCAATCATTTTTTCCTAGTGATATAACATTTTTAATAGTATTTATTCGTATTATGTAATGGGCCACCAGCGGCCGAGCGGTAAAGGCGCTGAACACTGGTAGTTCGGTCTGAGGTTCGAATCCCGCGAACGGGCTGGCTGCATGGGCGTTTTCGTGGTTTTCCCCATGTGTAACGTGTATACGAGCCAGTTTCCCTTAGAAAGTCCTCCACGAAAGGCATCCCTCCCTTTAGGCAGATAGCCCTCGTGTGCTTTGCCATAATTAAATACACCAACGTATTATGTAATAACAGTAGAACCTACAATTTTTAAATAATAATTTCTGATTAAAATACTTACCTTTTGATTTAACTACAATAAGAAATCTTGAACAAATGCAGTAACCGGACCATTCGTAACGATGCAAAGAAATGTTTCTTCATAGCGTTAATCTCAAAATTTTTAACTATAATTGTATTCATAAAGAAATTTTTAATCTTTTCTGTTATAGGAAAAGTACATGTCAAACAGTTTGCTACAGAAAGATTTACGCTCCAATGTGGGAATTCGATTCATTGGAGAAACCCAAATAAATATGATAAAAATATTAAAAATTGTAGCAGATACTGTTACTTATTTGCTGCTTTTAAACGAAATTTGCATTTCGTATCTCTTATAGCTGAGTTCTTGATTTCTTTAGAACTATGTTATTCTATTTCAGTTCCTAACTTATTACAATAATTACCTAAAAGATATATTTACTCAGTTAAAACATACTTGCGCTCTATATTGTTTTCTGTAACGAAAATTATTTGAAATATTGCATTATATTCTATAACAGATGCTTCTGAACATAGAACAAAATTACGCAAAACAAATATTTGGTATCAGCATGAATCATTTCAATCTGAGATGTTTAGATAGTTACTTTACCTGAATTGGTTTCCTGATGCGTGGCGGGAGATTCTGCCAATCAGGAGTAGTGGCTAACAAGTCTTCGTTCACAAGTGATTTGATGTTAGTGAATACTGAATTTCCGAATTTCTCCAGATAATATCTGTGTTCAGAATAACTGGAGTCGAGACCACCTTCTTTCCATGGCACACTGTTGATTTTTAATAAATTTGCTTAGTTAGTATTCAGGAAACATAATGCTTGCAGCAAAGAGTCTAAAGAACTTTAGACCATAATTTTTGCAAGACATTAAGCATTTTAACTTGAGTTCTGCATATTTTAAAAGATTAGAGAATAAAAATATTACACATGATTTAGGATATGTCATTTAAAAAAAAAAAAAAAAAAAAAAAAAAACACAAACGAGGTAATTTTCTTTCATTAAATTTCACTTATATGAGCAAAGAATCAGGTGACACTCATATTTTTTGTTTAAGAAATGTTACCCTGTTCATAAATATGCAAATATGCATCATAGTTTCCTAACTGTATTCAAAATATGAAAAAGCAATACCTTAACCTAAAAGACAGATATCAAATAACATGAGTTTATTATCATAAAAATCATAATGATGATAAATTTTATAGGGAGAGAAAACTTTAAAGCCGTTCTATCGCAAAAAGTTTCTTTTCTTTTTATATTTTTTCCTCCAGTTTCGCTCAGGACATTTAAAAGCCTATTCAAAATATCTCCATCAAATTTGTGTCATAGTAACACTACTCTATTTCACTTAACTTGAGTTAACATATGACTTAACATTTTAATACTTAACATTTTTAGTTAAATTTTATTCTCCTACATTCTTTTGCATAAAAAAATAAATCTGAAACACAGTCTTGTATGTGTGCGCATAGTAGATTATAACATAACTAGATGAAAAAAAATAAAAATTCATCGTTGACTTTTAATATTATTTGTTGCATTCATAAGGACAAAAATATTTAGTAACAATCAAGGCTATATTATTAATTATGCTTATTACTAATGACTTAATTTGCTCACATATCTGATCAGTACTAAATGAATGTTAGGCTATTTGATTATGGCAAAGCAAATGAGAGATATGTTCTTAAAAAGAGGGATATGTTCTCGGAAGAATTTCTGGCTCATATTCACATTGCACGGGATTAAAATCGCAATAAAAACCAACAATGCGATCAGCCCGTTTGCTTTTGAGTTCGGACCCAAGTAGAATTACCAGAATTCAGTGATTTGTAATCACTCAGCCACTGATATGAACTACTAAATTCATCAAAAATTAAATACTACGCTTGCATGAATTTAAGGTGAGTGTTAGCAAATGTTTAAAATATTCTGCATTTCAGCATTTTTGTTTCGTTGCATTGGAACAATGTATTTTCACTATGGAAACATAGTTCCGTGAGAAACATTTTAAAAGCTCGCAATTGTTGGAAATTCCTTTTACCAAGCACTAAGTCAAGCGCGTAAAATACACTCATGTCCATAAATTAAGGATAATGAAAAATCAGGCAAAGGAAGAGTTAGAAGCAAAACAAATTTGACTTGTAAAGCTTATTTATTAAACAAAAGGTAAAGAGCAAAAAAAGATGCTATATGCTTGATATTATTAAAAAAATTAGCGATTTTTTCTCCCTGGAGCAAATTACAAAATACATCTATTTACAAAAACCAATATTACATGGTTGGTATGATTGTTAATAAAAAAAAAGAAAAAAAAAAAAAAAAAAAAAAAAAAAAAAAAAAAAAAAGTTGTATGTCTCCCAGACGATGCAATACAGTCCGTACAACGCCTAGGCATGCTGAGTATCAAATTATCGATCTGCTCTTGGGAGATATTACACCACTCAAAAAGCAATGCTCTCCGAAGTTCCGGTAGACATGTAGGAGGAGGTTTACGGGCTGCAACTCGTCGGCCAAGCATGTCCCACACGTGCTCTACTGGATTCAAGTCCGGTGAGAATGCTGTCCAGTCCATACGGGTGATATCCTCCGATTGAAGGCATTCGCTTATGATGTTTGCTCGGTGAGGACGGGAGTTGTCATCCATAAAAAATAATGTGCACTCATGGTGCCCCGAAACAAACGTACATGTTGTTCCAGAATGACGTCCAGATAGATTTGGCTTGTCATGGTTCCAATTTGAACATGCAGGTCAGTTCTGAAACCCAGAATAATTCCACCCCAAACGAGCACTCCTGCACCACCGTAACGGTGTCGTTTAGTGATATTTTCTTGGTGGTAACGGGTACCTGGAGCTCTCCATATGAATGTCCGGCGAGAATCAGACTGCAAGCTAAACCTGGACTCGTCGGAAAACATCACACAAGCCCACTGTTGCGGTGTCTACAATGCATGCTCTCTACTCCAGGGTAACCGCAGGCGACAGTGAGTTGCAGTAAGTGTGAACGCATCTGACAGGTCTACGAGCATATAGACCAATCTGCCCTAAGCGTCTGTACACGGTCTGCCTTGAAATTGTCGTACCAGTGGCTGAAGAGACTTGACGAGACAGGTCTGAGGCTGTGCTCCGTCTGTTTTTTTGGTAGTAACTGCCAAATACCGGTCCTCATTCGGCGTTGTAACTCTGGGGCGACCTGTGCTGTAACGTCTACTCACATTACCATCATCTTGGAATCGTTGCCAAAGCCTGGAGATGACACTCTGGGCAATTCAAAGTTCGTCTGATACTTCCAGTTGGGTACGCCCACATTCCAGACGGCCGATAATTCTACCACGTAAAAAATCATCCAAATGCATCCTTTGTGTCATAACTATTCGGTTATTGCACTGAAATGCTTATAAAGCGCCTGCGAACAATTTTACTTCTTTGCCTGTATTCCTTATATATCACTCTCTTACACTCTCGTCATTGTGACGTACCATCGGTGTCATCTGGTTACTTCCTGCAATTTGCATATGATTCTTGAAGATGTGTGTAGTGATTTTACAGGTGATATATTTATTTTAGAGTTCCATTTCCGCGTGACTCCGAATTATCCTTAATTTATGGTCATGAGTGTATTTCGGTGCCTCTCAGACGGGAAAGCTGTTAGCGACTGCCGTTTCACTGCCGCATCGAAAGGCTCGGATTCGAATCCCGCGAAGGCACAGATGCTAGTAAATGAATAGTGTCTGTGCGGCATATGGGCACTCAAAATATATGAAGAGGATAATGGTACGGAAAGAGGAGAAAGAGATCCTCGGATCCTTTCCCCGGTGTGCTGTCCTTCAGAACGAAGCGCGGAACTGAGCGTGAAGTGTGACAGTCACTTGTATTGGGCTCAATGTAGGCATGTTCTTATTGCTTCGGATAAGCGAGATTAGTAACAACAGCAACAAAGTTCGTTTCCCAGCATAGTTTAAATAACGTATTTATTGTATCATTTTGGTATCTCTTTCACCGTGTTTCATTTTGCACCTGAAATAAGGAGACAAAATGCGAAAGATCTTGTGCGAAGTCCTTTCAAACGCACTTAGATACTTTTCTATGAAAATCTGACAAGAACCAAGAACTTCGTAAAAAAATTTAGTTTGTAAAAAAATGCAGTCATCTGACCAAAATTTCTCATTCGAAAATTCAAAATAATTGATAACTTCTTTCATGTCAGTATAACACTCTTCCAATATTTACTTATTCAGAGGAATTAAACAAACATTTTTAAGAGATTTATAATGCGAAACAAAGACATGTTAATCCAAGACAAATAAAGGTGTCCTAATCTAAGTTAATTAATTATTCGTTGCAGTTTCATCCAGTCAAATGTTAAGTCTGGGTAAATATGCGCTTCGATTATTTTGTCGTTAAATAATCCGATATGTATTTCTTTTTCTTCCGCTTTTATAATGACAACTCTGAACATTATAAACTTTTATTACTTCACAAAATTATTAATGTCTCGAAAATATAGATAATATTTTCGCCAACATTAATTAGAGTACGTTGGCATTTACTTTTAAATATCTTACTAAAATTATTCTCTTTCCCTAATTCTAGGTACGTAGAACGTCAGCTTAACTTATATATTGTGAATAGTGTATTTTTGTATTTCGTCTCTGAATGTATAATCACATTCAAACTTAAAAGTTAGTGAAAAAAAATCTAAAAAAATGCTTTTCCCCGCGATGTAAACATTTAATTCAATATTTTAAGCTTTTTTCGGTTACTACAAAGTAAAATGTATCTCCTTATAGGCTTGTATGAAAATTTGCAACTGATATGTGTTCTAAAAAGAGATGCCTGTATAGAGGACTCTCTAATGGAAATTGACTTAAGCATTACTTTTTGAAGACTACTTTTCACTTGTTTATGCTTTTATCATATATTGTACAGCTAGTAAAATAACGATAACTATAAAAATGTTAAAACAGAGGGAAATGAGTTTGCTTTTAATGTATCACATTATAAAAATGCGAAAACGAGAAAAATGAATTTATCTCCAATATTCTCTTGTCATTACTTTTAAAGGTAAAAGTAAGACAAGTTCCATTTAGAAATGGAAGCGACAGTATACATCTTTGGTACGACACATACCGTATCTGTCGGCGTATAAGACGCACTTTTTTTCTTTGAAAATAGGTCTGGAAAAGGGGTGTGTCTTATACGTCGATACTCAGTTTTTGATTACATTAATTTCTGGGAATTTTCTTTATCCGGAGTTTTGCGATTTGTTTCCTTCTTTTTTTTTTTTGTGGAATGTTGGAATATTACAGTTACAAATCTGTAGATTTCAAAGGTACAAAAAATGTTACTGTTAAAACTTCAGGGCACGAAAAAACTCACTACACGGTTGTTTTATCCTGCGGTGCTGATGGGAACAAAACTGCCCCCCACTATTGCTTTTTAAAAGGCTGGATGGACGGAGGAGGAATAATGTTATGGATAAATAAAATTTGGTCGAGGCGGACTGGCGGGCTGTTGAAGAAACCTGCCCTATTAGTATGGGATCAGTTTCGTTCTCACAGAACAGAAGATGTTAAAAATAAACTCAAAGAATTTAAAACTCAATTAGGGGGAATTCCAGAGGCCTAACTAGTCAGCTTCAACCTTTGTCTGCATTAATAAACCATTTAAGAAATTTATGAATAAGAAGTGGAATAGCTGGATGTAGTTTTCAAATTTTGAAGTTACACCACAAGAAAGAAGGAAGACGCCTAGGATTTTGCAAGTTTGTGAATGGGTCAAAGCTTCATGGAATGCTGTAAAAACAGAGACAGTGGTTAAATTATATTAAAAATGTCGCTACTAATGCAGAGGGCAATTTGTTGTATGAGGACTCAGATGCTGATTTAGAAGAGGTTTCAAGTGACTCTTCATTTAACTCTGGAGATGAGTGTCTTGGTTTCGACGAAGAAGATTAAAAGGTGTTCTTTCCCAGATAGATTGGGTATTAGCAGAAAGTATTACTTTGTATTTGTATTACTTTATATTTAAAATACTGTAAGATCATTATAATGATCAGTAATAAAGTTTTATCTTTCAAAAATGTGTAAAACAAAAGAGGGTGAATGTTATAGACATGTGCGTCTTATACGCCGACAAATACAGTATATTCACTAAGGAGTCAACAAGAATTTCAAATAACAAATTATCTTCTTCTTTAATTTAAGTAACAAACATTTAATTTCATTATTCCGATTGACATCTGTAATCACAATATGCTTCAGTTTAGAATTTGGACTTTTCAGCAAAAAATATTTTCATTGTACCTATAATTATTCCGTGAATAATAAACGAGGAATTGCGCAATGAAATGCTGTTATGCTAATTACTGCACAGCGTAAAAGAAAATATTATGAAAATAATTCTTCTACTCTGGGGAACCATGCAGAAATAAACGAACGCCTAAACTATCTAATTGTTGGATCTAGAATCTGAATAAAAAATAGTAAATAGAATATATAGAGTTAATTAATGTAGATTTTATGCAAGTAATGTAAATTATTGCAAGAGGTGAACGTCAAGTAAAATAAAAGCGCTTGACTAAATCAAACCTTTATTTGGAGTTACTGTTAGCGTAACCTCCGACCAGTAACAAAATATGTTAATTTAAATCATAGTATAATTCCAGTCAATAAAAAGGTATTTTCTTATCATCTGTCAGAAACTTTGTTTCCCTGTCACTTTTTATAGCAATGTATATATTTACTTATCGGTTAATTTGTTGTCAGACTGGAAAACAGTTTCCTTCGAAGCCTTAATGGAATTCAACTTTTCGAACTTTTGCTTCCAAGAATTTTACGTTGTTTGGTCCCATGAGTTTTCCTTCCTCCTACTGATTTATCTACTCGAAACTTTGCGTCGAGAAGAATTCTCGCCATCGACGTAAAATATTGCAACAGAAATTTGTCGTTCAGACTATTTCTATGGGAATGCGCTTCTAAGTAAAGTTGACTATTGTGTTTCGTGTCTATACATATGGATATCGACTACAAATTCAAGGGAAGAACACCGACTTGCCTTATTAAATAAATCTCAATTTAATAAGAAAGGGACAATTTTATTGCTTTTTTTATTAAACATTTTATAAGCCATTCATAAGTTTAGTCATCCATAAGTATTACAGATAAATAATTCATAATTCATAGGTGAGAACCACTTCTTACTTGAAATAGTGTATGTTCTTTCGGTTGACAGAAAATATGACATCATCTATCAGACCTTGTAAACTGGAAGCTGATTCTTCATCTGCGGAGAAACTTTCTTGGGATGATACATCAATGTATTGGGAAATACTTGGGTCGTTGCAGACAAATCCTGTAATAAATTAGCGAAGTGACAAAATTAAGATCGTTGATCTTTTTATGAAATTTACAAATTCTTCACGAAGATAAACTTAATGGTTAACTATAATGACAGTGCTTGTAGCCCAAAACGGAATAAAGGCTCAGAAAATACTCTAAAAATATTTGAAATGTAAAGATTGTATTCTAACTTTGGTAAAAAACACTTTCTAATACTAAAAAATATTTAGAGTTATTATAATAGTCAGATATTCTAGAACTTGTTTTGTGATGATAGCCTTATAATTTTAAATACTATTTTTTATTTTCTACTTTCTACAGTATTCTGTGGTTAGAAGGAAAGTACCGTAATTTAAAGGTTAAGTTAGGTTATTAGGGTAAGTTAAAGCGCAAGATTATTTACGTAAGGCAAAGCATAGGACTATCTGCCTAAGCAAAGGAATGCCTTAGAAGGACATTCTAACGGAAACTGGCTCGTATAAATGCCACACGTGGGGTTACGAGGTGTGACATGTATAAGACACATGGAGCTATAACTGAAAGCTATAACGGCGCTCATACAGCTGGCCCTTTCGAAGTTTTCTGGCCCTGGACCAAATTACCAGTGTTTCACTCAGTTACAAATGGAGAAGACACAAAAATCACACGTTAGCCAACACGTTAGCTTCAGTTCGAACTACCAGTATTCAACGGTCTTAACAAATCGGCTACTGGTAGGACATTGCATTTAAAAATTCGAAGACTAAAATATATGCAGTCTAACTTATGAAATTATTTCTATATCTAATGATTGTTACATTAAGAGGAAAACTCTAGATAATAAGAGGGAAAAAATGTGAAACTTAAAAGAATAATAAAATTCTATTTTCTTACGTTCTTACACTGCTTGTCTGATCGTGATTTTTTAATAAACAAATTTAACTGAATAAATTTAGAACAAATTTCGTCTGCCCATCAGAATGCAGCGACTGTTCAGCACAACTAACATTATCGCAGAGTGGCCTCCCTTACAGTCTGAGCTAATTGCCTTTTTAAGCACTTGCCAGCAACGTTGAGGTGGCAGCAATGCCGGAGTTTCAGTTGGCAGTTCAGACCGTTAATAGATTTACTATTGACCTTCTCCTAATATTAATACTGAGCGCTGCAATACCACATAATCACTATTATAATACTACATAATCATTATTACAATAAGCACAATGTATCTAGATTGCTAATACATGTTATCATTTTACACTACATAGATATGTTATACGTATTATTATTTTTGTCTCCGCATTACAACTATTCCAGTCATACTGATGCAATATTCAGATTCTATATACTATTAGTAACATTTACAAATGAAAGTTTCATTATGTTGTATTATTAGTGCTATAATGCACATAATCACTTTAACAGTGTTACATTACAGTAGGATTTTACAACACGTACATGCGTATGTATTACGTAGCGTTACATTTCCTCTTGTCTTGCAAACATTACGTTCTGTTCACGTAATATTAATGTACGGTATACTTATACGGAATTTAGTACTATTACATTTTTAATTTTCTTGTATTGTGAGTGCTATATTATAAATAACCAGCATTAAAATGTTGCAATACATCAATGCACGTTATCATTTTATAGTAATCCACCGAAAGACTGAAGAGAATCAACAACTGCAAGATATATACGGAAATTAGCAGTTACGGAAGTGTTCAAAAGCAGTACAATAATAAAATAAAATTGAAAATAATTAGAAATAGGGAGTCCGCAAGCAAATCATTCTTTTAACGATTTGGTATTTCTTGCATTCTTGTAATATTCTCTCAGTTAGTTTAATTACTTGTTTATCACTATTAGTGTTGTTCTTTATTTTTCTTAAAGATTCGAAACGCAAAAACATTGCATTGGCAATAAATACGAAGGCAAAACTGGTGATAAAGCTAAAAACAAATACGCAATTATTTAGAAATAAATTATAAAATAATTTGTATATTAGAAGAGTATATATCAACGCAAGAGTATTATATCAGCGCGAGAGTATTATATCAGCGCGAGAATATTATATCAACTACTGCTTAAAATATAATTCGACCTACTTCTACAGTGAATATGAGAATGAGGGATCTTTCGAATTTTTGAAAGCATGGAAGGTCTTCCTGCACTAAATTAATTATATTGTTATACAAAATTTCAAGGCTAAGTAGAAATGTGGTATTTTATGTTATAAATTCTCATTTAAATTATGTATTACTGACTTCATCTGGAGTATTTGTTAAAATTGAAATTGGATTTAACTAAATGTAAGGTATTTATAAGGTATCAATTTAAAGGGATTATAAGTAAAGGTGTACAACTAAATGCTTATCTTAAAAGTAAATTCTTATATTTACGTGAAGATGAAAAGAACTGTTTTGATAATATTGCAAATAATAAGCTTGAAAATTCTTGTGTAAATGAGCAGTTAAAGGAATCATTAAATAATCTAGTAATACATTTACAAAACCTAAATATGAATTCAGTTGTATTAATGCTGAACCTCTAAGTGTAATATGGATTTGGGAACTTTCTGCAACTTATAGATTCATATAGCGACTCCTCTAAATACAATAATGTAAATTAATGCGTAAAACAAATTGAGATTTGTTACGATTATTCCAAATCAGTAGTAGACATAGAATTTTTATATTTGTGACATTGTGTGGAAAGTTTCAAAAAGGCTTTCCTAAATAAATACGACTATGAAGATTCTAAAGAAAAAATATTATTTTTTATGAATTTTTAAGTCCTAACTTGCATTTACAAGTCATTAGTGTTAATTTGAATTTGAATTTTAGTATATTTATGTTTTTATTTCAGTTAAGTAATATTGAAGAAAATTTATGACTATAAATCGTAATTAAACTCTGATATATTCATGGAATGCTAAAAGCCGCTCACCTTGTTCAAAGGAACAGAGTTTTTATATACTACTGTATTTAAGTATCGCACGGCCATCACAAAATATTTAAACTGATTTGCTTGTAGAGGACCTACCTATTTTCCATCAACGCTTATTCTATTATTGTAGTTTTCGAAGGCCTAACACTCACAAATTGGTACGCGACGCTGAACATGGGTAGTTCTTCTCGAGCTATCTTCCTAGCCAACGAGATAACTGTATGGGATTTTCAAGATAATACCGGCTAATATTGGTATACTAAGGCAATTTTACTTAAAACTTCCTTCCTGAAGGTAAGTGTTCTTTTATAGATGCCCCTCAAATGCATTCTCTTAAACAAACTGAAGTTCTAGAATTTATGAATTCATTAAAGTTCAAATGCGTTCTCTTAAACAAACTGAAGTTCTAGAATCTATGAATCCACTAGCAGCTTCGCTGCCAACCTTCGTCTGGCTTTTAAATGTACCGGAAAAATGGCTGAAGGGAACACCAAACGTTAAATTTAAAAACTGCGTATAATTTTACTCAACTTCATAAAAAAAGCAGAACAACTTCATAAAAAAGTTATTACGTATAACAAAATTACAATGAAATAAGCAGTATCCCTTAATACAAATATTAATGATCCTAATAAATAAATTAACCAACTTCCTTTTGCAAAATCTTAAGAACTCAAATGGTATAAAGGAGGTTAAGAATTTTGTTTCCTAAAAAAATCACTCAAATCTTTCAATATCTTTAAGACAGTGAAATGAGCAATAAATAACATAAAAGAATACAAAAAACAAAAAATTCAAAAAAGCAAGGTATAATTAATCATATTTTATCTTATATTTTCAAGAGAAAAAAACAACAATGAAATAAGTTACATCCCTTAATACAAATATTAATTATCCTAATAAAAAAATTAACCAACTTTCCGTTGAAGAAACAAAAATCATGCAAAACTTCTCAATATCTTACAAACAGTGAAATAAGCAAAAAATAACATGAAAGCAACTCAAGAAACATACAATTCCGCACAGAATTTTACTCTGCAGAACAACTTTATTAAAAAAATCAATAAAAATGTATTATATATATATATAAAATGAAAATGAAATATGCCGATCTGTTAAAAACAGTGACATAAAAAATACGATGAAAAATGGTTGCATTTAAAAATTTTTATAAAAGTACAAAATATTATCATTTTTCCAAAATTCTTTTTGTAAAAGCAGTCGCAAGGATGAAAGTTTAGCGTGTCCAAAAATCAAAGAAAAATAAACTGTACATTTCTAAAAATAAACACTTTTAGAAAAAATCCCATTGAAAATGTGTTAAGCTGCCTTTGTTAAATAAATTTGTATTCAATCGATTTATTGAAACACGAAATTTATTTTAAGTTCGTAAAATAGCTAAGTGCCTACGTTTCATGACGATGTGAAAATGGAATGTGTAGAGTAAAATCTCGCTTTCCTATAGCCCATTATGTCTCAAAATGACGCGATTTCGTCACAAAACATAAAATAATAAAAACTCTAATTCGAATTTCGAAAAAATCCCTTCGAGGTGCACTGGTTTTTGGTCTAGATGCACCTATGTACCAAATTTCGTAGCCGTGGGTCTATTAGCTTACGCGCAGGGCGAACGAAAGACAGACACATACACACACACACAGACTCTTTCTTTTATTATATGTAGAGATTAACGTTCAAACGCATTCTCACTTTATGATAATAAAATTTTAAGATAATTTGTTACAGTATTATTCAAAAATTATTCTTCGTGCTTCTTATACCTGGTATAAATCCATAACTATCACTTATTCCTTCTCCAAACACTTATAAAATCTATTTCCCCCCTTTTTTTTTCTAAACAGAATACACGTTAGTCTTTATCAGCTGCTCCGACGCAATTATTCTTAAATTAAAAATGTTATAGATGAAGCTCAATAGATGGCAGCACTGCCGAAATATTCTTCAATTTCCAAGAAGACTTTAAACGGCGGATGATGATAAATACGTTTTACTGAAGACAGTTTATTTGCATATTATGCATTTAAGTAAATTTCTCTTAATTTCGAAAACGCAAAACAATGTAAT